CCGGGCCCAGCCCCGCCCAGCCCCGTGCGGGGATGCACCGCCGAGCTGTGGGTTTCACAAGGAGCAGCAGGGCTGGTGGGTGTGGTGGCTGGTCAGGGGTATGATGGCTCAACCTGGAGGCTGCAACATTCCCAGGGAGAGATCCTGCAGGAGACGGCTTCTAGGGGTCTCAGGCAGTCCTGCAGCCACTGGGTAACCTCAGCAAGGGCCAGGCAGCTCAGCTCTTAGCAGGGATTGCACCTCTTAGCAGGGATTTCAGCTCTTAGCCGGGATTTCAGCTCTGAGTGATTTCACCTCTTAGCAGGGATTTCATCTCTTAGCAGTGATTTCAGCTCTTAGCACTGATTTTACCTCTTAGCGCTGATTTCACTTCTTAGCATTGATTTCAGCTCTTAGCAGTGATTTCACCTCTTAGCAGGGATTGCACCTCTTAGCCAGGATTTCAGCTCTGAGTGATTTCACCTCTGAGTAGTGATTTCACCTCTTAGCAGGGATTTCACCTCTTAGCAGTGATTTCAGCTCTAAGCAGTGATTTCACCTCTTAGCAGGGATTGCACCTCTTAGCCAGGATTTCAGCTCTGAGTGATTTCACCTCTTAGCAGTGATTTAACCTCTTAGCAGTGATTTCAGCTCTCAGCAGTCATCTCACCTCTGCCTTGCAAGGTGTCCCCAGGCCAATACAGGGACGAAGAGACAGGAGCTCTGTGTAGCAGTTCCACAGAGTTCCTTTCTTTATTCCAGCAACCCTCTGAAGGAGGTCAGGGATGACAACTGCCTCCCAAACAGGGCAGAAGCTGGGGTTTTTATGGGGAAAAGTGGGGTGGTACAAAGGGGGAAAAACCAATGGGTTTCACAAAATCTACATGGGATCCAGAGTGTGCTGGGAACTCGCCATGACCAAGGAGGGTTCCTCAGCCCAGGAGGGTGGAGATGATCTTACCACAGCCCACTGAAGGGACATCTCTCCAAGGCAGAGGTTTGGCATGCTTCTCTGTCTCCACACTGGTGTGAACCAGGACATGGGCTCAGGCCAGGCAGAACACAGTGTCTGAAGCACAATGTCACACAGCTGAAGCACAATATTCCTGTGCTCACACAGCTTGTTTGAGGGATGGCTGACATTGTCACCAATACACTGCTCTGTCTAGTTTTAAAAGTGATATTTATCCAAGCTTTTCTGTTCTTTACAAGTGTCATTATGGAGAATGGGGCTCCAGGGCATGTTGTGTGCAGTCAGTGAGGTTAAAAATGCATTTAAAAGTGAGCCAGCTTGGATCTGTGTGTGAGAGCAGAAGGGAAGCTGAGTTTTACCTTAGTGCATCACTGAGTTTGCTGCTCTGGGTCCCAAAAGGACTTAATTAAACCGAAGTTATCAAATATGAAAGTGAACTGAAATTTGCAGGGCAGTACCTACTGTGGCATTAAAAATGGTGTGACAACACTGAGCTCTTTTCCTTAACATCACATGGTGGGATTCCTGGGGTCTTTTGTGCAGAGCCAGGAGTTGGACTCTGTGATCCTTGTGGACCACCTTCAGCTCAGGAGGTTCTGTGATTCTGAAATCAGAACCAAGCAATGCCTGCGTCTGTTCTTCCAAGCAAACCAGTTTTCTGCGTGGCAAAGCTGTTGGATTTATTTTTCATAAGCTTTTTAATCCTCTACATCCTGATCTTGTCTTAGCCTGGAGGGAATGCTTAGAGTTTTGACCTGTTGGTTCCTGAAAACCAAGTGCCAGAGTTTGTTGGTGATAATTTCTCATCCAAAGGCGGTTGGTTCACATAAGCCCTGGAAGCTCTGAATGCTTTTTTGACCTTTTTGACGCTCTCCCTTCTGTCACACCAATCCTTTCCACGTTAAATGTGCTCACTCATGCATTTCTCGGCACTGAATTTATCCTGGTTTTTAGGGTGGTGCTCTCTTTGTGTCATTAAATTATTTTATTGATTTCCCTCTTTTAATAGAGGAAAAAAAAAGTTGGGGGATTAAAAGCCCTGGAGTGGCTGCTGTAGAAGAAAATAGTTGAACAAAGACCTCTGGCATAACCTTTGATAATCCACAGCGTTTAGATCTGCCTCCAATGTTTTATTAAAGTCTTATATTGTTTAGTAGTTTATTTTTGATGGAATCTTTGTCTTTTCCTTTGGGATTTGGGGTAATGTTTTCCTGCAAAGGTCAAGCATTAAGAGACTACCCAGAAAGTCTTTCTTTTCTTTAACGGAACTGATTTTTCACTGCTAAGTTAAAAAGTGTTTCTGCTTTTAAAAAAAAAGAAACATGCATTGGTAAAGCCAAATCTTTGATATCCCTGCTGACTTTTTTGCCATCCTTAACTAAGACATGTGTTTTGTTGCCCATTTTAGCCAGTAAATATTTTTAAATGCTGAAGTTTAGGGGAAGCTGGGCAAGTACAGGGGGTATTGGGTCCAGCCCTTTAGTAGGGCTGACTGAAGGCTTGGAAAGTAGTTTTAGCCACAAGTGAAAACGAAAAAAAACAGTCAAAGCCAACTCTGTGCATGGAGAGGGGAAATAAGTTTATCCAAGGAGTGTTATGGTGCTTATTCCAAGAGGAGAAAATGGGTGCAAGGCTGCTGATTTGTAGTAGAAGCACTTGGAGACAAGGCGTAGGTAAATGTAGGACAGGAGTTTTGACAAGGGGCAGAGGTGCTTTGGGGTGCAATTTGGGGTGTGAGCAGTGCCCAGTTCCAAGCATGCTGT